CTTCATCATTCATATGAATGCTGACATCATATGCGACCTCAAGATTGATTCGATTAATAAATACATAAAGGATAGAGCCCTGAAATTATTTGCGAAAACTGACAGGTTTACCAACACCGCGTTATCTTATCTCATGCCGATCTGACGTCAGTTACTTAGTCTGATGAAATGATAAACAATAATCCAGTCAAGGCGTAGAGAGGGGTTATGAAGAAACCTCGCAGTTCATAGAGAACTGGTTACCCTAAACCAAAGAATAAATTTCTTTATCGTTCCAATACAATGATAATCCAAACAAATTTCTATTATAAAAGCATTGTTTATGCACTACATTAAAAAAACCTACTAATTAATGATAGTACTATTACTTGACTCTTATATTCATAACGAATATTCGTTATTAGTAGAATAAGTTTGCGGTGAAGTGACATATAGAATTATAGTCGATAATTCCTATATTATATGTAGTCATTATTCGAATCAGTTATAAGTATTATCATTCATTCTTATTGTAATTGAGACTTAAAACTTGTTTCGCTAATGATATCAAATCATTTAATACACAACTTAGAGACTATACACTTTAATCACATTTGTAGAACGCAATCAATTTAACCTGTGCACAATTCTGATATACTTATATATATATATTTCAATATACTTAAAGTTCGATTTTTTTTTCTATAAAGCTGGAAAATCAAAATTTTAGAACTTCCGTTCATGAGTTTCATTGGCTAATGTCGCGAAAAAGTAAAAAGTTTTCCTAGCTCGATAATCGCACTAATGACATATCTATAAGTATTTAAATATATTGGATTTGGTTAACTTTAAGCACAACTTTTTCATTCATATCAAAATATATATAGTATTGACATGTTGACATAAATATTAGCTTTCCTAACTGATCGTGAATTAGGTCTTAAAGAACGGAATACATAAGAATCTTTAAAACTCTTATCGTAAGTGTAGCAATTATAAGCGCAGCATCGGTGGAAAAGTCTCTCCATACTCCTTGGTTCACAAGTTTTTTAAAGTAACTTACTCTATTGTGCTTTTTGATTTTATAGCATTCTCTAGGTTGATTCACTACCTCCATACTTATTCAAAATTATGAATTACAAGTCGATCAATACCCTGTGCTTTATGTCAATAGAGTCGAAACAAATCTTCTCCTGATTTCATTCTACAACCGATGTTATTACAACCTAGATCAAGTTCTATAATTAACCCAATGTAAACGCTATTTTGAACGTATCTCACTATTCACCCCCCACCCCACACATTTTAATTTCATTCATAAGAGCTGAGTTTAGTACGTTAAAGTGTCATAAGTTGCCATTTGATGCTTATACATCAAATACATTATACATTATATATTGAAAGAATAATATTAGGTAAGTCGTTATATGTCACCATAACAGGAGTTTTCAATTTATTTGAACTGACATAAATAATCAGTTTCTGGTTATTTGTTTATTTTTTTTTTAAATTTATTTTGTATTGCTCGCATTATATGGGTAGCAAACTTCATACGTACTTAAATCTGATATAGGTTTATATAGTCATTCAACCAAGTTGTCGTTGATATGACTGGTTCTAGTTTTATAGACAAACAGCACTTGCAATAAGTTAACCAGTAATCTATGGATTAGGTCTTCTATTAATTGGCTTTAAGAATGCGTTTAAGGTATTTAATAGGAATGATATCTTGCTGAAAGTACTCATATGCTGACTCATATGCTTATGTTTATCAAGTGGATACTTTTTTAGCCATTTCAAAGTATAAAAACAAATGGGCAATATAATATATAAGAATACATGATATAAAATGTTGCTTCATAGAATTTTGCTGTTGAAAGGAAGGGGAAAAACTTCAAAGTTTGGAACTAAAGTATATAAAAAAAATGAAATTAAGAGACAAAACTTGAGGTACAAAGTAAATATCTGGGTTCTTCTAAACATTGATTTCTTCTCTTATTTTACCCTATTTATGACAAAAGTAAATTTCTTTTTATACGTCGACGGTATGTTGATTATACGTAATGTCAAAAGTATTAGATGTTTTTTAATTAATAAAAAAAGGTGTTTTATTAATTTTATACCATATTGCTAAAAAAACACATCTTACCAAAATGTTTAAACAGGTATTTAAAGTATTCTATTTAAAGTACATATTAAAGTGGAACAAGAAACCTTTTTAAAAAAAAATATTTTTCTCAAGAAGTAGGAGAGAAGTTCACTTCCACTAAGCCTATTATATTTAAACCTTCAAATTTAAAAACAGTAATCCGCCACTGGTTACTACATCAGAAGAATATTATAGACAAGAGAGAGAGACGACGACTATGCATATGTATTTTTTTCGTGTGGTAGAGAGAAGGGCGTTAAACGGTCAACGTTGTAAGAATATCGCAATTTGTATTCCAAAACGATCATCGTGAACTTATACCTCGATAAACTCACCTTGGCCTTTTTAAACATCGATCCCTTTGGACAAATCTATTATGTCCATACCTGCGTAGTTTATGGTTCGCTAAAATAAATTCAGACTTCTTCGTAGTGAAATCTCCATTACACTACGATTAAATAACATTAAAAATTCTCTTAAAATTATTAACAATTTGTTGTTAATTGTAAGCGAGTGTTGATATAATATTACTAATAATTCTCCATACATAAATGAAACAAAGAACTATTTTTTAGACTTAGTGAAATGACAACCCTAATATCGTAAAAGAAATAATAAAATTATTTCAGATATATAATTTCCTTAACAGAGTCATGACAAATACTTATAACGTTGGGACTCTTGCAAAGAATATAGACCAGATTTAGTTCTTCTTTAATCTATGTGTTGGCAAATGAGTATAATATAATATTCAGATATGAATTTAAAAAAAAAATAGCTCGCAAAAGACGGAAGGTAGATGTTGAAAAGAATAAAATTAAAGTATTGTTAAAGGTTGGCGATATATGAAGTTATTTACTTAAATTGCTTTTAAGACTATATACAGCTGCTTTCAATATTGTTTGAGTCTTGATTCATAATCTTCTCTTGATATGCTAGTGCATATGTTCACGATTATTTTAATCTCGCACCTCATTAAACTTCGGATGATAAACATAACCATCGCGGATTATTCTTATTGTTAGAGACTTTGTTACCTCAATAGAGCTTCCAGTATGTTTAGTATCACTGGTGTTTGTACGGATACAATAAAATTTAGAAAACTAGATCTCTACCATTGGTGGTGTAGATTCCTCATAGTATTCTTCACTTGAAGGAGGGATTTTTAAAAAAAAAAATTTTTTTAAAAAATTTCTTTTGTTTAAAATTTTTTTTTTAAAAAAATACTTTTATTAATATTATTTTTTTTTAATTTATTACAATTTGGTTCCAATTTTGCAAAATTCACAATGTTGCCACCATAAATAATATGATGCATTCAGTTTAATATAGTAGCCTCTTAATAGATAACAGGATAATTATAGTACTAATATGAGAATTTAAAAACTAACCGACCCTTAAATTTAAATTTAAAAACTATTATAACCTTCAATAGTTCATCGTCTTTACATATTGTGAAATTTGAAGGGGACTGATTAACGACATCAAGTCGACTTTGACAAGCAATTCCGTCATATACACCCAGACGTTAGAGAATCATCCTTTTTGATAAGTATAGATGACACAGAAAAATTTCGTAATTTTAAAGTATGTTCTATCTCTATTTAGAATATAAGCTATGTATATTTAGTCGCTCTCACAGAGATAATAAATTTGGGGGATAATTATTTCAAAATAATGTCACAAGGAACTGTTAGTAATACATACAGATGCGTTTGATGCGTACAGATGAAAGCTATTAATATGCTCAACTTTTTGCTCTTTGTGAACGAATAAAAATAACAGTAGTAGTCCATATTACTTACCTAAGTAATTAGTTAAAAATTTTTAATAAGCACAGACTCATTTGTATTCATTTTAAATTGGCATAAATTTTACAAGGAGCGCCAGAAGTTTCAACAACTTCTGAATTTTGAAATGTGTAGTTTAATATATATATTTGTATTTTATATTTTAGCTTAAGTCTATTACCTATGTATATTGTATATAACTTATGTATATATTTTTCATGTAATTTAATTTCAATTATATATATATATACATTAAGACCGAAAAGCTTTCGGAAATTCTCATTTAAAATTCGCGCGCTGTATATTTTCCGATATTTTAAGTTTATGTAGTTTGGCAGCACTGTCCTTAATTACTATGCCAAAAATGAGCGCGATCTGTCAGACAGTTCGTTTACGGCAGCTGTTGAAACCAGTTCACCTCAGTAGGGCGTTGCGAAAAAAACAATGGAAAAAAATATTGAACAAAGAGTTTGCATCAAATTTTGTGTTTCGAACGAAATTTCGTGTGCAGAATCGTTGCGAATGCTACAAAAGGCTTATGGGGAATCAGTTTTATCGAAAACTCAAGTTTATGAGTGGTACAAAGCCTTCCAGGACGGTCGTACGACCGTCGAAGACATTTCGCAACGCACTACTGAGGTGAACTGGTTTCAACAGCTGCCGTAAACGAACTGTCTGACAGATCGAGCTCATTTTTGGCATAGTAATTAAGGACAGTGCTGCCAAACTACATAAACTTAAAATATCGAAAAATATACAGCGCGCGAATTTTAAATGAGAATTTCCGAAAACTTTTCAGTCTTAATGTATGTATATAAATTCAGTTTTTTTTACTCTTGGTATGCAAATGACTAATACTCTTCTTAAATATAACTTCTTCATGTTTGTGAAGTAGTTATAATAATATTGATCTATAAGTGAAAGAATTTTAATCATAACTGCCTGGTAGCTATTACTGAAATCACTTCTTAGAATTATGTCTTAATAAATTTTTATGTATTGTAAAAATAACTTTTGGACTTTTTTAATTTTATTATGTATTAGAAATAGTGCAAAATCAACAAGAAAAATTATTTCTATACCTGAATGCAATAAAGGCATCGCCCATTTCACCACCGACAATATGCACACCTCCTTCGGGTATTGAGAGACCTTTGAAGAACTGTCGAATATCCAAAGCATTTGCCGACCATGGCAAATTCTGTAAACGAATAATAACACTCATCTTGTTTTGCTTGGGTTTTTTTTAAAAATTTTTATTAATTATTTAAATCCATAAAATTAAAAGTTTAGTATTCAACTAGAAATAAAATCCTGGCGTATTTGCAATATGTTGATGTCCAAAGATTCTGTTAAATATATAGATAAAAAATAAAATTATATTTTAGATTTTGAATAAATTTAATAATAATGTTTTTTCATGGAGTCTTAATATATGAGTCATTAAAGTTAAAATAATTAGAAAAAATAGTACAAAAATAATATAATCCAAAAAGAAATTATAGTTTATAAAAATAATAAAAAAAACAAAAAAAATAATAAAATTGTTTAAAATAAATAATTTAAAAATAAAATTTGATAAAAATAAAAAACGATTGAATAAAAAAAAAACTAATAAAATAAAATAAGTTAAAAATATAAAAATAAAATAAAATAAAATAAAAAATAAAAAAAAAAACTAAAATTAACTTTTAAAAAGTTATAAAAAAAATAATATTAAAAAAGAATAATTAACAGCAATGTATATATTGTATATATACATATATATTGTACATACATATATAGAATATATATATAGATACAATATATACAATATATATATAGATCTGCTCCACGAGTTACTCGTAGTAATTATACAATATTATATCCAAATACAATAAACTCCTGCTTCTCATTTATTTTAACTGTTTTTATCAATAGTATTATTAATATTAACTGTAAAAATCATTGATTGGATTGTTATAATATAGATGTTATAAGGTAGTATATTAGACTAGCATTAGATGTTTTTATTTCAATCAAAAATAATTTTTAATATAATTTGCCTTTACAAAATAATTCTACAAAATAATGTCTCCAGTTCTGAGCGTGACACTTGGAGTCCAAATGAATTATATACGAAATATAAACTAATTAAAAAATGCAAATATTTGTTAAGACCATTGATGATGAGTACCTGACAATACTTGAAAAGGTATTATATGGTCAGTTAAACTTCTATAAATTAACCAAAAATTTTTGTTGTTGTCTTTTAATTTCTATTCGTACTCTTCCAACTTTTAAATAGTTTCTTTTCCTCATAAAACGTGTCACGTTCGACAAAAAGAATTGACTTTAAAAAAATTCGAAGACTTTTCATAATCGAAGTAGTAAGAATATATTTAAATAATCTCGTCCACATAATTAATTTGAACGATGATGTATTTTCGTGTCACAAAATCAATAAATATTTTTAGCTTATATTGCAGAATCTAACATTGACAAAAATATTATTTATCCTTTATCTTTCTCAGTACCAGTTATAATGTGTCTTATGTACAAGTGATCAAAATTAGATCAGTGAACATATAGAATAAATCGCACTGGAAATCCATTTTCGATAGAAATATTTACTAAATGCATATTTTTAGTGTTTACTTCCTCTTGTATTTCAAATTAACTTTTAACCGAAGCGTATATATAAATTTAGGTTTGATGCTGATATTAATATTCATTATAAGATAAGATGGTATAGTGCTACCAGTTTATGGACAAAGAAAACTGATTTATGAAATTGTTTAATTGGATATTCTTTTAAATCAGGGCTGTCCAAAGCATGACGTGTCTTTAATCTACCACAATTACGCTAATTTTCCTTTGGTATATTTTGGTAAAATTGCATTATTTTATTTTTATGGTATCCTATACAAATAAATTAAAATAAATAAATTTATAAAACTAGATATAACATTATCGTTTCAAAAAAAAAACATTTAATTATGTATTTGTTTCTGAGGCCCCCCACTCTATGCAGTGATTCATGATCGGATCTGGTTTGGACAACCCCGTTCTTTAGTATATTAATATGATTTGGTTACAAACTGAATTTTGTAGAGCACTATTTTAAAAAATAAACAGTATTGAATCTGTATTTGTATTCTCTATTCTATTGTCTTAATAATATTGAATTCTACTAATTAACATAAATTTCGAAATAAGTGTTCAGATCTATTAATAGAAATAGTCACTCTTGTGTCCTTTAAGGGTTAAATAAAATTTAATTTTTTATGTTTAAAAATATATTTGAATCAAAACATATGCTGAATATAAGATGTAACGATGTGCACTTGAAATATCTAAAAAATTTCCTACCTTAATGGCATCATTGTTAGCGAGTTTCATGTCAGCTTTTAAGGCCGTTTGATAAGTAGTTTGTTCACATTGCTGTTTGATTAAGTTGCTAAATGTCGATGGCTTTTTAAATTATATGGACAAAATATTTGTAATATTTAAGACTCATAATTATGAATAATGAGTCAGACAAAAGACAAAGTACCGGTTTGATAATGAGTCTAAATCTACAAAACAATGTAAAATCAAATCTAATTTATTATGTTGATAGTTCCGAGTGCTTTTTGAGCAAGTGGTGCTGTTTTATAGTTTAAAAGTTAATCTTTACGTCTTCACTTTTAAAGATTTTTCAAAAAACACAAGTATAAGAAGGTTGTACAGTTTCTAACAAAGATGGAAAGGCGCTAGGAACATTCGAGAGAAAAATTATTAGAAAGATCTATGGTCTCTCACGCTTTGACAACGGGTATCGGAAAAGATTTCAACAATGAGCTATACCACGGCATTGACATAACTAAGCGCATACAAATTCAGCGACTTCGCTGGCTTGGTCATACCGTGCGAATGGAAGTAACTGGTACGTGGTGGGGTACGGTGTAAGGACCAGATGACTAACGATTTCTAGACGCTCGGTATTACCAACTGGCTAAACCATGCCACATTTGGGCTCGCTGTCGGTTAGTCGACGCGGCCAAGGACGATTTACACCTGTAATGGTCAACTAAGTAAGGAACCGCTCATTATTGATAATAAAAATAATATATAGCTGATTGCATATACTACTAAGTGTTGTAAACAATATGGCTAACGTAGTTATCATTATGCAACTATAGATATAGTATAGATACAATCTAGATGATCCCATTATATTATATATAAATTTAATGCAAATATTTAAACTTACCACTGGAGGACAATTATATAAATCCGATACTAAGGTATGACAAACAGTAAATATTTCACATTAAATATCACAACTTCAGATGTATTTCTTTAATCAGATTAATACATTACTTTTGCTAAATTTTTCAATCATCTCACTTTTAATAAATATTAACACATTAAAATTTGACAGTTAAATCAACAGTTTAAATATTAAATTTTTTCTATAGTGGTTTTAAGTCGCATGGAACTGTTCCTAAAAATCGTTAGCAAATGATAAGAAATGAAATCGGCGAGAATTGGGTAATATTACGAACTTTTTCCTCAGTTCATTATAAAATTATTTATTTTCTTAAGAACTGGTACCAAGTGATGCATTAACTATATAAGGACTGCAGGATAGATTTCAGAAAGTCACCTTTTGATAATTTTGTAATAATCGAATTTGATCAATTTTGCAGCAATACACAAAAGATAAGAATGTACACGTCACGAATATTCATTAGTTACTGACTTTTATTATTAGCATTCAATACTTTTATATTATTTTGCTTAAATACTATAACCTAAAATTCTTAAAACTAAATGCATTTCTTAAAATTCTTAAAATTAAGGATGGATAGGTAATCTTTAGTTTATGGTTTGTGTTGTCGGCGTAAGGTATGTTTACAAATAAAAAAAAAAGGTTATCTGCTACAAATGCGCAGGTCATTCGACCTGATTTAGAAATTTCCATATATTATAGAACATTAAGTCATTCTATTGTCTGAAGTGTTATTTTTCTTTGTTTGCTAAAATGTATTGTATATATGTATTTGTATCGTTGTTGATAACTGTTAATATATATTTTGTTTACTAATTTCTTAGAATAACTATAAAAAGAATTCCTAATTATATAACCAATAGAAGAGAGTTAGTTGGTTGGTTGCAGTGACAGGCCATTAGATAACTTCCATGTACCTCAATTAGCGATTTTTCTCCGTTTTGCTACCACATTCCTCGCAAGAACCCTAGTTTAGAAGAGTAGAAACTAAATCCATCCCGCCGAATTTAGATAATTGAATAGGTATTTCGTCTGATGAACAGTCTAATAAACTATCAAAAAAAAAAAGTATCTTCGTAAGAATCTATATGTTCTGGACGCCAAAACCGGGCATCCACAGAGAAAGTGTATTATGGTTTCTTTTTTCTGCGGGTGAGAATTATGGAGAATACGCAGTTTCTCTACGTGGGTTCCTTTACACCAATGACCAGAAAGAAGCGCAGTGAACCTTGCAGTGTTCACGCGTTCTCTTTTGATGAGTTCCGAGGAAGAGAATTATTGCCAATACAATTTTTTATATGTCAGAATAACCACAAGGGACTCAAAGAACAGCAAAGGTTTAGATGGGCTTCGTGCCTTATATCCAAATGCATAACTTCAATTGGTATCAGCGAAATTTATTTCAATAAGGCGTTTATCGGCTCATCTTGATACGTTTATTTAGAACTTATATTTATAAATTTATATTATTTAGAAATTATATTCCTAATACATTTCGTGAAACCCGCCATCAATGTCGACAGTTCACTCACGAGAGAATGTTTTACGCCTTTTAAGCTAAAGGTTTGTTCACACTAGATACTTTTAACGTAGCGATTTACCTATGATTCGCACCCGCATTTGTTCATATTAAGCGCTTAGTATCGTGACAGAAAATCTTGTTGGTTGAGTTAAAAACGCAAAAAATCGTTACAAAGAAAAAGATATATACGAATTTAAATCCTATTGAATTGTACTTCCGCCCCATTAGGTAAGCAAGGTTATTTCATCTGGACCCGGTAGTTTTTATATCGTGCAGAATCCAAGTTTTACAAAATCAAACTCAACGAATGTGGTCGACCAATCACCGTACTCACCTGACGTCGCCTTTGACTTTCTTTATCTCGAAGAAAAGTGTTTTTAGTTTATAAATGAAAATTTGATTAAGGAAAAATGTATGGAGGATTGTTTAAAGCATTTGTTTAGTTTTAAGCATTATCATCTTTCTGTATTGAGGAATTTAATACAAGATGGGACAATTCTATATGATCTGTACGTAATTTGGTTCCTCTTAAATATAAAGTAATCTGCTTCAGATGTTACATGATGATATCA